AAATCCTTAAAAAGAAATTATAGCAAAAAAACCATATTTTTAACTTTTTTGTGGAATGCATTCCAATTTTAAGTATACTTCTATAAAACAACAAAATCCTAATTATGTTTCATACAACAAATGATATTAAGATCTAGATATTGGAGTCTAGGTACTAGGGAAATAAAGCACTTCATTATTTTCTCAGTAGTAACATTTATTTAATTATTGAACTTGTGGGCAAATTAAGGATTTTTGATGAATTTGCATAATGAGTTCCATAAGAAATACACACACATATGTTACTCACAGTCACCACTGCAGCAATCTGTTTAGTGACACAATAATTTTAACTTTTCTTGGCATGTAATAAAAATCTATTAAATATCACAAGCGAGATTTAAACAAGTCAGGTTATCTAAAAGCTGAGCAAAATTTTACTTGCTATGGCACAAGAAAGTATAGCTACAATATACTATGATTATAATTATTCTACTACTATATTTGCTGCTCTTAAGAGCAAAACAGTCACTCCAAATAGTTATTAAAATCAGTTGTTTTCTTGAAGTCGGCTAAATACATTAAATAAATAATCTCATTTAATCCTTATAAGATCTCTATGGTAAGGGTATTTCTGTCATTTTATAGTTCAGACAACTGATTTTTCCCTAAGCCATAGGTAGCAGAGTCAGAATATAAAATTCAAGCAGGTGGGTTTCTGTGAGTTCCAGGCCACCCAGGACTACATAGTGAGATAGTGAGACCCTGTCTCAAATAAAAAATCAGAAGTGTCAGGTGCATGACTTGGTATTAGAGCTCTTGACTAGTATGTACAAAGAAAGCCCTAGGTTCTATTCCCCATACTACACACACACACACACACACACACACACACGTATATATTTAATTCTAAAATGACATTTCAGTCTTTATTTGCTGATATTAATAAATAGTGCTATTTTCCCTCCTAGAAAAGCTTTTGCTCCTATCCTTTCAAGATGGGAAAGCTCATATTTGAAGTCCATGGCAAAGCCCTAAGTTCTTTATGCTACACTTCCTTGTGAGAAAGGGAAAGCACAAAGTACTTCCATCTTTCAAATTCTGTCATCTATACATTAATTATCTTGTTTGGGGAAATAACTTTTAATATGTTTCTTTTAAGTTAGATAGAGGATTCCATACTATAACATACATAGTAGTTCACAGAAAAGGTAGTTCATTCCTTTGAAATGTAAAACACATATAAAATATAAATATACTTTCTGATTCTCTAATAGCAACTAGATACTCAGAATATACGTTAAATTGAGAATTCAAAACCTAGTCTACATTTTTCTGTTAATCTCTATATAGTGTTGAGTCATATTTACTTTTGCTGTATAAAATGTGAATTATAACTTACACATTCCTATATAGAGAATCTCCTTTTCTCTGTAATTGCTGACTACCAGCTTGCCGCAAACAAGGCAGTCTTTGGTCTTTCTATGCCTTTATCACAAATATGCAGAGAAGCAGGGCTACTGTTTTATAATATCTCTGAAAACTAAGTAAATACAACACATCATTGTTCTCCCATATCACATATAACTAACAACAAGCTGAAACACTCTGGTAATGTCTTCATTCCAGATCCTTAAGAAAAAAACTACTGGAGCTTACTAAAAACTATTCTACAGCTCTAATTTAGGTTAAATCCAAAATGACTTTTGTTTATGTCATGATTCTTTAACATGTTTCACAAGAACTATTGCTATTAATCTCTAAGATAAATGATTCAAAATATAAAAATACTCTGAAAATCAAGAGTAACCTTAAATATATCCTGAGTAATTTGATTCAACACATGTATCTCTTGACTCTTTTGACATTAATAGGAATATATTTAGAAAATTATGATATGAAGAAAGTTTAACCAAATGAAACTGAACCTGTAAGTCAGATATAGGCAGCAATGTAAACTACTGAGTGTAGTAAAAAATTCTGTGCATTCCCTGATGTATGTGATCTCATTTTCTTATGATTGTAAACTTCAAAATAATTTTCCCTATTCCATTTAGAAATGACAGTTTTTAAGTCCTTCCTTTATTTCTATAGGCAAAAATGCTTCATGCAGATAAAATAATAATAAAATAGAACTTGTTTCCTGTAACGCCAGCATGATACAGTGAAGACTTTTGGGCTATTCAGAACATAAAGGCTCTTTTGTGTTTGGGTATGCAGCCATTAGAAAACAAACTGATCAGGAAAGTATGCCAGTGGAAACTTAATAACTGGGAAATTATAGGTTCATTAGTCAAGTAACATATTATGATCTCATTCTTAATCATATTAATACTGTGAAATTACAAATTTGCTAGCATTGAATTTACAGATTTTTACCATTAGACAACTAAATTCATGAGAGTATTTTATATTGTTAATTTTGTCGGAAGCAGATTTATGCCTAGTCCCTGATAGTTATCAAAAGTATATCTTAAATATAAAGAAACTACTATCTGAGCCAGTGAGATCATTCCATAGGTAAAGACACTTGCTACAAAGTCTGATGACCTAAATTCTATCAACAGGAAGACAGATAATTAATGCCTGCAAGTTGTTCTTTGACCTTCACAAGCACAACTTACACGTGAATGCACAAGCACACACATATATACACAAAATAAAATATAATTTTCTTTTAAAAATAATTTGCTGTCCACCCCAACTGCATGCATTCACTTCAGTAAAATGATTCAAGGGGCCTTATTAGCCATTGAATAGAAACTGAATTTTAAAAATTATTTAATCCAATTATCTCTTACTTCTTGAGCATTTGCACACTTTTTTTCCAGCTATGGAAATGAAATGGGATATGAAGACAGATCTCTGAATAAAAGAGATAGCTCTAATTAATGATAGCTCTAATTAAAATATGTTAACACCTCATGTATACTAAAACCTAGTAAGTTTTGACTATTGGTAAGGAATTATGTTAGCTTGGTTGTTCAAAAGCTACATGAGAAACAACTTGGTCCTTAAGACATATATAGACTAAAGAGAAAGGGCACACATAAAAAAGTGTAAATATAATGTATACAATAATGTTGCTTTTTAAAATATGTCACATTGATTGAACCATTGTGACTCTTAAATTTCAAATTGCTAGACAATACATTGTCATAAGATTTAAGGATCTCAACATATAATAGAAAATATGTAGAAAAATAGATACATTTAGTATGTTTAATCCTAATTCTCTGATGATCCAATCACAGAAGGAAAAAAAACAAAAGAAAGAAAACTTTTTCCCTCAAACACAGATCCTACACAGATCCTAGCCCATAATGGATGCACATATGTAAACAGCCTTGAGTGTGGGTATATTATACCATTTAGAAAGGAGACCTAGAAATGGTAGTTAATATTAAGTAATGAGGAAAGACTAAATATAGGTAAAAGGACACATGAATAGTAAAAGAATATAAAGCTATTTTTTTCTAGTTTCAAATCTGTAATGTTTTTTCTTCTTTTGTGGTGGATATATATACATAAAAATGAAGTGATAGTAAAAGTGCAAGATCCCTAAGCAAAGTTCCATAGCTACAGATATTCTATATAAGGAAAATAGAAATATATTGAAATTCACTGATATATGGAGTTTGGGTCCAGACCAAGTGTTTGAATGGTTACCTTAATCTAGCTGTATGGTGTTTTTGTTTGTGTGTTCATTAAAACGAAGTGATTTTTATATAAATAAGTTGGAAAAAACTAACAATTTGGAGTATCTGAACCTCAATCATGTACTTGGTTTGAACCTCCTTTGCATAATATAACAACATTGAATAAATTTTCAAGCTAATTGCATTGCTTTCCATAAATTCCAAAAAAATCCTAAAACATGGAAAAATATATTCAGCTTGAGTTGGTATTTGTATAGTTGGCTTTTAAAGTATCTAAAAGTTGTATTGAGCATATATAAGGTAGAAGATGATAATAAAAAAATCATCTCATAAGAAAGGAGAAAAAAACAGTGTGCTGGTTATTTTTTTTCACCTTGATACAAACTAGGTGCACTTGAAAAGAGTGAACCTCAGTTGAGAAACTGCCTCCATTAGTTTGGCCTGTTGTCAAGTCTATGGGGACATTTTTCTTAATGATCAATGTGGAATGGCCCAGGCCATTGTGGTGGTGTGACCCCTTGGAAGGTGGTTCTGGGTAGTCTAAGAAAGCAAGTGAAGCAAGCCATGGGAAACAAACCAATAAGAAACATTCCTCTGTGATCTCTGCTTTAGTGCCTGTGACCTGGAAATGTAAGATGAAATAAACTCTTTCCTCTCCAAGTAGATTTTGATCAGGGTTTTCTCACAGCAAAAGAAACCGAACTTGGACAAATTTCACTGATTCTTTTAAATACATGCTTATAATTTTTGCTCCTAGTCCCCAAAGTTGAACACTCATTTATTAATGCAACTGTCAGTGATTTTTTTTTTTATTTTGGTTTTTCAAGACAGGATTTCTCTGTGTAGCTTTGGAGCCTATCCTGGCACTTGCTCTGGAGACCAGGCTGGCCTCGAACTCACAGAGATCCACCTGCCTCTGCCTCCCGAGTGCTGGAATTAAAGGTGTGCACCACCAACGCCCGGCGGGACTGTCAGTTATTTCTTAAGATGATCCTTTCTATGCTTCTCATAAGTATCCTTAGTGTACGAATGGACTTTGGGAGCCCTCTCCACATAGAGGGACACTCTCTCAGCCTAGACACACGGGGGAGGGTCTAGGCCCTGCTCCAAATGATGTGACAGACTTTGAAGATTCCCCCATGGAAGGCCTCACCCTCCCTGGGGAGCAAAAAGGAGATGGGATGGGGGGGCAGGGGAGGGAGAAGGAACTGGGATTGACATGTAAAACAAGCTTGTTTTTAATTTAAATAAAAAAGAAGGAAAAATTAAAGACTTACTTCATATCAGCATAACATATGTTCTTGCACAAGTTAAACAAAATGCAATTTAAAGAATTAGGTCTTGCTAAACTTTATGTCTTACCTCCAGTTAATGAAACTTCAGCGAGAGACTTGAAGTACTGGATAATTTCACTTATTTTCACCAAGAAGTCTAAAAATGGGATAAAACACATGGCTATTATTGTCTCCCTGACTCCTCCCTTCCTCCCCATTCCCCTCTCATTCTTCTCCTCATTCCCCTCTCATTCTTGCCCTCTCCCTCCATCTGGTGCTAGGGATGGAATCCAGAGGTTTACAAATTCTAGGTTAGACAAGTATTATACCACTGAGCTATTCCTAGGACCTAAGGTTATTGTTTTTCATATAATGAGTCATTAGCTAATTCTTATTAAGTTTTAATTAAGGACTTGCCTGAAAATGCACAATTGAATGTAATTACCATATAAATTCACATTTTTATTTTCAAGCAATATAAATATACAATCACCTGTAAAATAAAACTTTAAACCTTTATTGACTATGTATGGAATTTGAGACATTGTATTGCAAAAATGATTATCTCAAAATCACTTCTATAAAAAAACAGATAAATGCTATTCAAAGAAATAACTATTTCTGAAAAAGAATACCCATAGCTTGGTTTCTCATACTTCTACATTTTCATAAATTCCATATTCAAGTTATCATTTAATTGAAAGACTTTTATTTTAATACTGTGGTAAATATATTTAACTTTAACAATGCCTATTATAGAACATAATGGTGTACATGGAAGTATTAACTTCCTGTAAACCTATGATAACCTACCAACATGGTTTTAAAAACTGTGTAATTCAGATAGGATGAAAAAATATGACAAACTCTTCATATCAAGGTCATTTTAATGAAGTAGACAGTAAATTGATAGGCTTATACATTATAAACCTTTGTCTAATACATTGTTTCTTAGAGGTAATCTTTCTTTCTGAATGAACCAGATCAGAACAAAAGCCATTCTAGATGAGAACCATAGTGTGTGGACAATGCATTCTGTTTCTTGTGTGTCAGTTATTCAGTAATGGACACACAGTAGGAAAATATTTCATTTTAGTGTTCTTGAAATAAGCATTATATCTAACTTCTGAGGTAACATTTTGAAATGAAAGTCATATTTTCCTTAAAAATTAATGTGATGTTAACTATTTCCTGAATCTTAATTTTTAGTCAAGAATACCTTTTAACACATTAAACAGTAATTGTTTTACTTTCTTTAAAGTAGTTATTTTTATCCTGTGTCTCAATATTCCAGTATATACCTTATAAAAATCTTGTAAATACATAGTGAGACACATGCCACAGTGAGTAACTGCAGCACTCTTTATAATTGATTTTAAAAAAGGAGCTGGGCGGTGGCAGTGCACACCTTTAATCCCAACACTCAGGAGGAAGGCAGATCTCTGTGAATTCGAGGTCAGCCTGATCTTCAGAGTGAGTTCCAGGACAGGCTCCAAAGCTACACAAAGAAACCCTGTTTCGAAAAACAACAACAACAAAATGATAAAAAGGAAAGCAAGCGATTCCTAACTCTTAAATGTGCATGGGGGAGCTGAAGCTGGAGGAGCGCCGCAAGGTCCACACGAGTTTGGACTACAAAGTGAGATTCTGTCTCAGAAAATAAAGCTGGACACTGTGGCACCTGCCTATGATTATAGGAAGATCAAAAGTTCAAGGTAAATAGTGAATTAGGCCAGCCTGAACTATTTGAGACCTTGTCTCTATAAAACCAACACAAAACAAAAGCAGGGGGAAAAGCAGGGTGGGGGGGGCGTTGCTCAGTGGTGGAAAGGTTGCTGATCCTTCAGTTCATCCCCAGCACCCGAAAAATAAAAATTTCAAAAGCCCATTAAAAAAAAAGGAAAGCAAGCTAAAGGATCATAAAAATGTGAACAGATAAATATGAAGTTCAATATTTTAGGGTAGATTATATATAAATGTTGATAAATTATATAGGTAGATCTCAAAATAATTAAAAAAAATGGTTTGACAACTAGACACCTAGATAAAATATCTATGTTTTCAATTGCACACAGGTAGTTTTTTTGGTTTTTCGAGACAGGGTTTCTCTGTGTAGCTTTGGAGCCTATCCTGGCACTTGCTCTGGAGACCAGGCTGGCCTCGAACTCACAGAGATCTGCCTGCCTCTGCCTCAGGACTGCTGGGATTAAAGGCGTGTGCCACCAACACCTGGTGGTATTTTGTTTTAAAATACACACTTGTATACAGAAAATAGTATACAACACTTTATGAAAATAACTGTTGCAGGAGAGAACACTGAGAATATTCATGAGTGTAGTCAAACAAAACCTTAACCTCCATATGGTGCTTCAATTGTTTTTAAAGGAGAGTACATGAAATAAAAAAAATAACTTTTAATCACTTGGAATGAATTAAAATGGCTTATAAATAATTCTTTATATTCTCTATATTTTAAATTTTTTTCAGGCTGGAGAAATGGCTCAGCAGTTGAAAGTTTTTGTTGCTCTTAACAAGGACCCTATTTTGATTCCTAGAACCCACATCAGGTGGCTTAGAATTACAGGAATGTAATTTCAGGAATGAAATTACAGTAATGTAATTTCAGCTTAGGGAAATTCAATACCATCTGGCCTCACAGGAAACTGCACACATGTGGTAAACATAAACTTATGTAGGTACACACATATATAAAAAAATAAAACTAGTAAGTATTGTTAATTGCCATAAATTATTGTTCACAAATACCAAAGATGTAATACATAATAAATTATTACTCATAAATCCTGAAGACATATTACAAAAAGAATATTCTATAAAAATGGACTATATATTCTTATTTGTGGAGATTGTATGAATATAAATTCAAATATGAACTACACAGTCTTACTAATTTTATTTACTTTAATTCAATAAATTTATACCTCTTCTTTCTATATATTATTAATAGTCTATTATATTTGATTAAAGCCCTTTTAGTACTTGTTTAACTGGACTTCTCTAGGCCTCTCTAGACATTAATTCTTTGTTGAAATATGATTACCAGAAATGTCTAACTTTACTACATACAAATGCACCACATGTTTATATCATGTTTTTCACTTTTCTTTATAAGTATCATTCCTAATGATGGATACCTATTAGATTTGGAGCTGCAAAGATTATTATGATTTCTCAGATCTACTAATTTAGGAATATGCTAAGTGGTGGTAGCACACACTTTTAATCCCAGCACTAGGGAGGAAGAAGTAGAATCTCAGTGAGTTTGAGGTAGCCTGGTATATAAAGCTAGTTCCAAGACACCCAGGGCTGTAACATAGAGAAACACTGTCTCAAAAACCAAAAAGAAAAATTCTAATACTATAATATCCAATCCTAAAAATAACTCATATTTTCCCATACTTCAGCAAACAAAATCAATCCATACTAGTTAAATGAACTATTAAAGATGATAATATATTAAATGAAACCTAGCCCTGAATGAATGACTCCGAATGCTCTGTTCTCTCCACAGCTTTCAAAGGAAACAGAAGTTAGGATGACTTAAAAAATCTCTTTCCTAGGTTGGGAGATGGCTCCATGGATAATGGGGCTTGCTGTGCAAGCATGGGGACTAGAGAGTCCGGATCCCCAAAATCCATTTGAAAGCTAGATGGACATGGTAGCTACCTTAAATATATATATATATATATATATATGGATTTATAATATTGTTTTTACTGTGATATGTCTGAGAAAAACCAGGATAAAATCTAGTTATGTTGCTATTACTGTTGTCAACCTTGATAGCTTAATGTAGAGGCAATGTTACAAAATTGTAAAGTGACATTAATCAACTCTTCACTGGGAGTGATTCTGTCCCCTGAAGAAAATTTAGTAATGTCTGGAGACATATTTGGCTATCATAACTTGGAGGGGGCTTACTGGTATGCACTGACTTAAGACAGAAATTATACTGAGGATCCTATTCTGCATAAGATAGCTCCATCTCCAAAAGTACTGTCCCACCTCAAATACCTATAGCAACATCTGAGAAACCATTGTCCAGAGATAATAATATCTCCAAATCACTGAATATAATATATATTCACAAATTATTGAAGGCAATCAAATACAGGAGATTAAAAAATGTATAAAGAATTTTAGGTATTGTTCTAATCAATTTACTAGATAAACTAAGAGCCTTGATAATGACTTTGATAGAGTTCTGACTTGAGAATTAATATACAGTGAAGAATAGTATGGTCAGAACAAAGTAGTAAAGAAATTCATTATCTATAGGTAAATGTACAGGTTCAGTAGTCACTAAAATGGAATATAAGAATAAGGGACAGTTTTAAAGAGCTATCTTTTCTTACTTTGTCTTTATTTCCACTTCTCAAAAAATCTTTTTACTTCTCCACTTAACAATTTTCTTCATACAGCTCCTGCATGATAAAATAATAAAGAAAAAGGTTTATTTAATAATGGGTTTCTCAGCACATTCATGACTATATTAAACAATTTCTCAATCATGCAATTTCTAAAATTAATGTGGAACCATTCTCAAGTATAAAGTATCTCTAATAACAGCAAATGCTTTCTTCTTTCTTATCATATCATCTTTTAAGAATCAATCAAATCTTTTAGTGAAAAAGTATAATTTTATTTTGATTATTCAAGTATTCAAACCGTTTCCTGACAGAGGGAAAATTTAAAGGCTTGATTGCTCTGTGAAAATCAGAGGTTACTGAAAAACTATTCTTCTGATGATATATAGATAATATAATCATCAAATATCACCCTTAATTATTTAAGTAAGAATGAAATCTTGGGGGGTTCAAGACAGGGTTTCTCTGTGTAGCTTTGGAGCCTGTCCTGGAACTCACTTTGTAGACCAGGCTGGTCTCAAACTCTCAGAGTTCCATTTGCCTCTGCCTCCGGACTGCTGGGCTTAAAGGCGTTTGCCACCACCACCCAGCAAGAATGAAATCTTAACACACAGAGAATAAATATCTACATGTCTTTTTTTTTTTTTTTTTGGTTTTTCGAGACAGGGTTTCTCTGTGTAACAACCCTGGCTGTACTGGAACCCTCTGTTTAGAGCACACTGTCCTTGAAACTCAGAGATCCACCTGCCTCTTCCTCCCAAGAGCTAGAACTAAAGGCTTACACCACCACACTTGGCTTTATTTTTATCTCTTTATATTCATGGGAATCTTAAAATCAACTTTTCATTTGTCTCGTGAATTCATTTCTCATTTCCTAATCATAAACTGAATGATTCTTTTTAGGTCACCTATGTCAACCAATGGAACATAACCCCTTTGTTTGTATTAGTTTTGTTAGTGTTACTTATTTCAAGGGGGTAATTCTTTTGAAATCACCTTGCTATGTTACCCTGGTTGGCCCAGACCTTACTATGTAGACCAAGCTGACCTAGACCTTGCAGAAATTCTCTTACTTCTGAATCCTGAGTGCTAGGTTTCTAGGCCTGAGACACCATACCTGACCATATTGCTGAGTGCTATGTTTCTAGGCTCGAGACACCATGCCTGACCATATTGCTGAGTGCTAGGTTTCTAGGCCTGTGACATCATGCCTGACCATATTGCTTGTGTTTAAACTAGTGTTTCATCTGGTCTTCTATTTGCATTAGCAAATAGAGCTTTATCTCTTAAGTAGCTTAATCTCTTTCATCAGTTACTTGAATGCTAGTACAATTTGCAAATGAAATCTGAAATGGCAGAACAAAACGTTTTTCTATTATGAGCAGGAAAACTTCTCATTTTATACCTCTCTAGCATTTCTAGAACAGAACTTATTTCCCTATAGAGAATCTGGCAAGACTGCACACCAGTTGAAATAATTCATTTTACTCTTATAGTAAATGGTTACCTAACATAAAAAGCAAGCAACAGAAGTGGCCTCACTTGTGATTCCTCCTGCACTCCTGTACAGCCAACCTGCTGTACATATTCAAAAGAACTGCATTAGAGGCCTAGGAGACAGAGTAGTAGCAACTCTATTTGTTCAAAGCCTACTTAAATAATTATCTTTCTTTGAGATTTTTTGGGGGGTATTATTGTTCTTGTTATTTTGTCATGTTTTCTTATTGGTAAAGATGTTGATAATACCTGCCCAGGTTACAACAGAATATGAACTATCAAAATGAAATAACATAAGACACTTTGCAAACTTTTAAATTCCATCTAAATTAAGCTAGTACACTCAATAAAGAATTTATGATTAAATATTAGAATATTCATTTCCACTTTGTAAATACAGGCAAAAGATAGACATTTGGGTCCATGTCCAAATTTATTATATCACATAAGTTAGGATTATCCACCTGCAGTTTTAACAAGAACAGGAAAATCTGAGAAATATTATATAAAGCTACACTATTCTCATTCTTGGAGCATTCTTTTCTTTTCAGTTCAATAGGGATTAGCTGTAATGAGCCCTTAAATTTTCTAGTCACCTCAAAATAATTTGCTAAAAAGTCACAAAACATTGTCACAAAGCAGTCAAATCAAATATTGAAATTTTAGTGGCTAAGATTATTTTATAAATATTTTCATTTAAAATGCTTATTCATGTAACTAACTCAATTATAAAACTAATCATGATTAATCATGAAAACCACTCAATTTCCTGGGGAATTATTATAATTTCCCACATTAGCTTTGTTTAGGCCAAGTTTTAACACATGTAATAGCTACTGAAGCATCTTAAGACACAGTATTTACTCTTTCTTTACATCTCCATTATTCCAGCAGAAAGTCAGAGAGATTACAGTACATCTTTCCAAGTACAAGCAGATGAAATTAACCATACTTATACACATGTAACTTAGGTTGCTGTATTTACATCCTTATACTTAGTTTTGCCCCAAAAGAACTAGGGATAACCATAGAAAAAGGAAGCAACATATTTAATGAGACAGGACAGTGGGGTTTTGCTACATGCAGCATTAAGGCAGGAACATAGGTAAAAACCAAGATTATCCAAAACAAAAGAAATATGAACATAATAAAATGAGTAAATAAATTTTCCTAAGTTTACAAATTGTTTTTACAAACATCACTGGGCATTTTGAAAGTTACCCTTTATCAAAATATATATTAAATGAACACATATATTCCTAGAGATTACATCAACCTAGAAACAACCCAAATTACCATCATCAGGAAAATGGATAAATTATGGTAAATTCATACAGTAGAATACTTTAGAGCAACAAAACAAATCCATCACCACTATATACTTTAACACAACTGAGAAACTTTATGATGAACTACAAAGGCAAGACAGGATCACAAAGCAGTATGATTACATTTATATAAGAAAATGCAAAAGCAGGCTATATATTGATTAGAAATACAAAAGTATTTGTAAAAAAATGGGGAAATTAAACATGAACTCAAACAAGAGGAAGCTTCTGAAAAGAGGCATAGAGTTAGAAAAGTATACTAAGTGTACACAGGTGAATTCATAGAAAATAGGTTTCTTCCCTTAAATTGGATGGCAGGTCACAAATGAATTAATTTCTATTTCATACACAGAAAATTGTGGTGCATATTTCTTAGAAATACTGTTTAAAATGTATCAAACACTTAGTAAAACAATTCAAGTTATAGTTGATTTTCTATATTTTTTTCTAATATGCCATTTCTTTCAACAGCAGCCAGCCATTCTAACTAAACACACATACTAGACAGTTTATTTTCTCTGGCTAAACAACTTTTTGTAAATAAAACTCATTTTAAAAACTCAGATATTCAAGAAGAATATGAGGGTAACTTTGGGATTCAGAACAGCAAAGACCTTATATAAAATAAAAAACCTATTACGTTTACTACAGACTATATAACAGATGTTGTTTTTAAGACAGTAACAACAAATGCTTTCTCAAAATATCTTAATTTTAAAATGATCTTATCACAAGAAGATGACTCTTGAGAAATGCTATAATTTGAAAACATTTAAAGATTTAAGATTGATTTTTACACATTACAAAAATGTAATTATAACAACTTCACAGCTTTTTGAAACCTAGAAATGTTTAAGTTTTGGTGGTCTATCATTTTACTGAAAGAATGATGTTAAAAATAGTAAGTGCTAAGGCTAATTCTTTTAAAACATATATTTTTACCTTTATCCCCCAAACTTATTTTTCCAGCACTGAAATACAATTGTTTAATTTACATGAAAAACTGATGACATTTCCAAAGTTTTAAGCTTTATTATTTAAGTCTTTTTCTTCAACTATAAAGTGAAATACAAACCTAAAAATAATCTTTACACTGTTCTGCCTTTTGAAATGATTTCTATACTGTACTTCCTCAGAGCCTGGTACTGAGAAAGTGCTCTTTTTTTTCTTTTAAAGAAGGACCGACAGTTCACTTCATAGTTAGAAAACGGTCTGAAACTTATGACAAACCACCATTAACACACAAAAAAAAATAAAATAAAATATTCACTTTTTGAGTCAGTTTTTTTAAAAAAGAAGTAACCCTAAGGATAAAAAGTGTATTACATTGCACACGTTTCCACAGGTTGAATTTAAAGGTGCAGTAAATGCCGAACTTCTGAGATTGATCAATTATGATAATTACAACAACTTTCAAAGTTAGTGTCTTAGTACATATAATTTCTATGATACTGAAATTGAAACGCAATAATAATGCTTAAGATTCCCTCTTTTCCTAAGTCCAGAGAGGACATGTAATAAATCCACCTCTAGACATTTTCATAAGCTGTTTGTAAAAACGCCAAGTACTATCAACTGCTTATAATAACGCACTCCCGCCCATTATAAAGATTTCATCTCAATTTTATATCATACACCATCTATGCTGAAGAAAAATAAAATAATCCAACTAATATGAAAAGGTATTTCATAGTAATTACCTCATAGCGGAGCCTTACTTTCCCCCCCTTCGCCTTGAAGCCTAAAACTCCAAGGCTCAGAGCTACTTTAAAACCTCAACATTACCAGCCACACTAACCCCTCAAGCCGTTATTTTTACACTCTTAGAATTTTTTAAAAGTACTTTAAAAGTCCTATACCTTTGTCTTCATCCTTTAAGACTTAAGCTCTGAGAAAAAGGGATGGGGTACGCCAAGGATAGTGTGAAATCTGAGGGACGAGGTGGGGCGGAAGAGTCCGGGTTGACAAAAGAAAGAACTAGAAGGCTGGTGGGATGCCGGACCAGGTTAAGCGCAGTTATCCTGAGCGCACGTGAAGCATCTGAGGGGGCGGGACCTAAGCTTTCGCTCTCGGCCCTCCACCGCCACCAAGCGACCGGAGCCCTTCCTAACTGAAACTACTCACTGCAGCCATTTTGGCGTCGTCCCAGTCCCGCCTCTCTGGCTCGCGGGACTCCACCCACCACGGGTTCCGAACCGAAACAGGAAGTGGGCTAGGAACCGTAGAAGCCGGGCAAAACCGTCGCCTTCGGCGCGCGCTTGTGACACGCGACCCCCGCCCCGCGACCTACGACCCTTGGCCGCCCCTGCCCTGTTCCGGGTTTTAGTGACTTTTCCCCACGCTTCCCGGGCCGCGAACTCGTGAGATCATGTCGAACATGGAGAGTATCCTTTCCGACTATTGAGGTGCTCCCGGGCGCTGGGGGCCGGAGAAGGGCGAAGACAGGGACAGGGGACACGCCCAGGGGTTTGACCTTTTTGGTCCGCGAGTGGAGTGAGGGCGCTCTAGCGCGGAT